GCAGCATTATATATGAAAAGCCATACTGTGTAATTCTTGTACTAGCCACGAAGTGATACGAGTCTAAAAAAACCGAACTGAGTATGTTACGGAAACCTTCGAGGTTAACAGAGCCTAAGAATTGTGATAAACAGTGGTACGCAGATTAATTAGGTGAAAACGGTCTGAAACGTAGCGAAAAGTATGACAGCTAATATTGAGGCAAATTTGGTCTACAAAAGCTCATGATGTTCAGATTAAATTGTATCTATAACATCTAACAAATAATGGCAGAGATACTACTGAAGAGAACTGGGTCAAAAAAGTTTAATGATAAATGATACAGAGAGCTAACGTAAATTAGATTGAAAAATATATTTATGTAAACTGTGTCATAGAAATGTTACTCTACTCTCTTGACCAATGGATACTGGGATACCATCACATTATAAGGACGAGTATGTTTGGCGACAAGCAATGATACAGAAACTTTCAAAGAGAACTGAGTCTAAAATGTTATGAACAATGGTATACAGCAGTGTTTCCCAAAGTGGGGACAGCCAAAAAATGAACCGAAAACAACGTTACTGAATTAATTTTAATTCCAAATAAACAATAATCCGATACAAATTATGTTGAATTAATTAAATGATACAGTATTTCGAAAGGAGATGATGTTTTTACTACGGTACTATTTTTTAATCACAATGCTAAAGTTATAAGTTGGGGGGGGGGAGGCTCAAAGTTTTTAATTCACATCAAGGAGTCTCCTAGTATCACAGTGGTATGTCTGCAGACTTACAACGCTAGAAACAGGTTTTGGATACCCGTGGTGGGCAGAGCACAATTATCCCTTTGAGCAGCTTTATGCTTAACTACAAACAAACAAACGCATCAAGGGAGCCTCAGACTAAGATAGTTTGGGAATCACTGGTATACAGTTTTGTGCCGCAAGCTAGTTGAAAAAATCTATTAGTATTCTAAGTGAACTATGTATAGTGAACTCAATAAGCAATGTTGCAGAGTGTACTTAAATTCGTAATAATTGATAATTAATAAGTAAGAATGTGCCAGTTGTGTTTTCGGAAAATCACATATTTTTTCAGTATTTTCAGTTAATGTCAAATATTTTACAGACCTTAAATATTTATATATATATATATCACTAATTTTGTATATTGCTGCCTTCTCTTGATTAACTTCACAATCAGTTGACATTTTTGATTGATTTACATTTATTCTATAATTCGTTTGTTAGCGTATATTGTTAAGCCAGAGAAAGGTGTTGGTTGTACAAGTGAGGCTATAATGATTATTTTTGCTGTAGGTTATTTTCTCGAAAAGGGGCCGAAGGCCGCTTGGAGTTGTCACCTGTTTTAATCATTCGCACTGCTATACAGCAATGTGTTGTCAGTCGGTAAACACTAAAATGACGTCATATAAGGGACGCTTAATGTGCAATTTGTACTATTGGGACGTCAGTAAAACTTGCGCATGCCATGAATCACGAGAAGAATTATGTACTCTAGGCTACAACACAGCATATGAACTTCAAATGCAAGAAATGAAAATATTTGTTACTCATAATTTTGGTTTTATTTACTCTCTAAACAGAACACTTTCGAGGACCCTGCAGATGTACATCTAGTACTATTGTTTAATATAATGTTACACACAAAGCACAATGCGATAAAATTTACAGCCTAGCTATTAAATGTTTAATTCGTTGTGTTTCTCTCCCATTTTTACTTCACGTAAGTAGTTTCTGTGATTCTAACTTTAGTAGAAGTATCTACAATATTATGTGGTATGCGTCTTGAGAGATGCTGGCTATTATAGTGCATAACTTGACCTTCTCTCACATATAAAAAGTTAATCAAATTACACAAATGTACAGTGATGATTAGAATTGTTATTACTGTGATCGTTCTGTTGTATATGACATTAGTTGTTTTAGACCTAATCAATTAAAAATACGCTGTTTAAACTTTATAGCTAGAAGAAAAGTCGCATACAGACCGAAAACGGCAATGCGAAGAACACAATAAAACAATTTGATTTCACTAATTTTGTACTACTACTAGTAGTTAAGTTGTTCCAAAAAAACAACAAGCAACAAAGATGAAATCAGAGTATATTTTAGGAGTATGGTAGGTATGCATACCATATGTTTCCTACCCCTTTTGTTAGTATATAAATATTTCACAATTTGTATTCATACTGAGCATGTATTCGTAATATAGGAAGCAAGTCAAGGAAGCCACTAACTTCCTCTCACCCTGCTAGTTACTTAAAGAACTAGGTCATTTCTCGTGGGAAAGATTACTGTACATGCTATATAGAGTATAGAAATCGACAGTGATATTTTACACTGGCAAGTCAGGTGATGTCCTAGGATACAACATCTCTTGGTTTAGAGAGAGAGTTACCGTCAGTCACGTAACTAGCCCCTGCGTCCTAAGAAGAATGACATTTGGATACTAAGGTAGCAATGAGACTAAGAATGCTATAACAGGATCTTTATTCTCTCAACGTTTCGACTAGAAGTCTTCTTCACACATATCTGAAGAAGACTTGTAGTCGAAACGTTGAAAGAATAAAATCCTGTTATAGCATTCTTAGCCTCATTGTTACATCAGTATCCATTTGTCAATATGAATAATACTCAAGTATGACATTGTTGTTATTAGTTTATAATGTCATGGTTTCTTAACTACAGAACATATTTAGAGATAAAATTACAGATCTCTGACCATTATACTTGTCTTGTTAACTTTGATTTTGTTTGTGTTAAAAAGATTGCTTCTCTTTCTTTGTGCCCAATTCAGTCAAGGGCAGTGAATTCAGATTTTTCCTCGGCAATACATTTTTCTGACGAGCCTCGCGTTATGCTACGGTTCCTACCCAATTACTAGACGGGAGGTCAGTGAACCTGACAGTACCACATTACCACCATTTGTTGACTGATTTTATATGCAGTATATTGCTAAATACAATATTCAAAGAGTCCATAGTTAGGGTATGACTAAATAACAAGTTAAAATACTTTATCACATTTCTACCAATATGGCGGAACTTCATGTTATTCCACTATAGCTACCATTGTTCGTTGTTACAATTATTGTAAACAGCAACAACAATCAATTAGAGGCTGTTTTGTAAGTTACTGTAAAAAAGTTCAATGAAACATGCGTGCCAATGTAAAATTCGTATAAGATTGCTAATATATTCAGTTTATTTATCTCTGAAACGGCATATGTTAATGAAATAATATATAATTTCTACATCAAATAAAATGTTTTAGTTCAGTTTATGCACATTTTCAAGGAGTACTTAATATGAATAACGTCAGAATTTTTGTACATTTTTTCCATCCCTACCAATGAGTATATTTACATGTTGCCTCCAACCTTCTATTTTCTAGACCGAATGTACTGCAAAAGCGGAGTTTCCCAGAGTATTTTAACGTAGAAGTTGATTGAAAATAAGAAATCATTTGTATTTGTAAATTTTGTTGATATTGCCTGTCTTATTTTAACGGAAATCGAATTAACGTGAAAAAAATTGTGTCAATTTTTATTTTCTTATATCGTAGAGGAAATTGTGAGGGAAAATAACATGGGAATAATTATTTGCGACATTGGTTTTTAGAATAAATTTGAAACGCTTCTCACGCTGTGAGGTTGGTTGTGTTTAACTAATAATGATAAAAATCGCATGACCTAATTCTGAAAGCAGATTATTTAAGAAATACTGCTGAATCATGCTGGTCAGTGACGTCGATGTGTATACGAGGAAAGTGTGATTGTATCGTATATCCTAAATATATATATACTTCGAAACATGTCCCTGAACTGGAATTTTCTCAATTCTTATTTAGATCAGTTGTTTTTTTACCAAAAATATGTTTACAGCTATTCAAAGAACAGTCAAAAGCTAAGCTCTCATTCCTTATATTTATCCTAGTTTATTTAGATTGAAACTCTTTAATTAGTTGTGTGATATAGTTGAATGTTTTACACAGGCCCTGTGGTAGATTAAGTACACATTACTGTGATATGAACGTGAGGTTTGCACTTTTTATGTAGCCAGTTTTCTCAGAACTCCATTGTAATATAGCTGGAAGAAACAAAAATAGAAACATTCCTCAGTAATTAGTACAATCATGGGCGTCTGTAGGGGGTGCAAGAGGGGCATTTGCCCCCCCCCCCAAAGATGAAAAATATAATTCTTTCTTTATTCATTCAGTATATGTATATGAGTTTTTTATTCAATTCACAATTTCACACTACTTTTCCCCCACCCCTGGAAAAATTTCTGTAGATGCCCATGATTATAACACATTTGAAACAGAGTAAAATCCTAACTAGATAGGACAGGTACAGGCAAATTTAAATATAAAAGTGATCGCAAGTGCCATTGCATGACACATGACAGTTAATAGGTAAATAGTGTTATTTAACAGTTGTATGGTTCCTCCAAACCTTAAAAGTAATCAGCTAAAATCTCATTTTTGTATGAGGCTCAGTAATCAGGAAAGCAGTAGCATATGCCCATAAGTATGTGAGGAACAAAATTCAGAAAATATATTTGGAATTACATGTACTTGTACAATAATGTATGTAAAATTTTATTCTCCCAATAGTTCAAGATATTCTGTTAATTATTGTAATTGAAAGGCACACAGAACTGTTTAAGCATAGATAATTATTATGTACTGGAGACCAATTTTTAACAGTTGCAACATATTAATTAAATACAACAATTGTCAAATTATGAAAGTGTGAAAATGACATTATCCCATACACATATCAAGGAACTGCCACTTCTTAATTTTGTATCTTTTTTAATTTTCCCATCTGATAATTTCCATTCAATAATTTGTAGATGTCTACATTAATATAAGCCACATGTAGTCATTACCTTTTATTTTCCAAAATTCATCTATGTGTTAATTAAAACCAAGATTGTGAAGAATGGCTTATTTGGTTCTATTGTTTATGGTGTATTTTTCATTGTAGTTGTTTGATGGAACCAGCTTCACATATACATACCTCTTGGCAGACACAAAGACTAAAGAAGCAGTTTTGATTGATCCAGTATTGGAACAGGTAGACAGAGATGTTAAACTGGTTGAAGAATTAGGATTGAATCTTATTTATGCTGGTAGGTTAAAATTTAGTTGCATCTAATGTATATATATACATATATAGTGTTTTCGGTAAGTCAGTAAGTTAGGAAAGTCAGTACGTTATACCCTTAGTAATGGACCAAACAACCACAAACCAACAAGGTGGCATCACCAGTTAGTTTTTACAATGTTACAGTTTCATTCAATGATGAAACTTAGTTAACGAAATGTGGTGAATTGCATGTGTATTCTGAGTATATTATTAGCTTGTGTTTTTATTAAGTACTGTGCAGGCAAGCATAAGGGACAATATTTACCAAAGTCAGTGTTGTAGACAGTGCAGGTGGTGAGAGTGAAAAGTTTGAGCTCATCTCAGTCTGAAATCAAATATAACACTGTAGTTAAACTTCCACTATTGCATATTAAAGTTTTCTTCTGTTTCTTATTTTCATTTAGGAAACACTTTTGATAATTTACCTATAAACATTTCTATGAATCTCTGTGCAATGACTATTTTATGATTATTTAAGATATATCATTACATACATAATAATTAAGAATAATTCAATTTAGAATTATTTTTGTTTGAAATCTGAAAGCCAGTTTCATAACACCTATTAAGTACCTATCTTGTAAAGTTAAATCAAGGTATACACAAGTAAACAAAATAGGATACACAAGTCAAAAAGGAAATAATAGGAAAATACAAGTGGATAAATTACCCCTGAAAATAACCATCCTTTATTTCAAGATACTAAATGTGGAACCATCCTTTATTTCAAGATACTAAATGTGGAACCATCCTTTATTTCAAGATACTAAATGTGGAACCAGCCTTTATTTCAAGATACTAAATGTGGAACCAGCCTTTATTTCAAGATACTAAATGTAGGAACCAGTCCTTATTTACAAGATACTAAATGTAGGAACCAGCCTTTATT